ACCCGGCTGCTACTTTCATCTAGCGGGGGATTTTGACCGGTAAACTGCCCCTCCCCGAGCTTATTTGCTGGAGTGGCCTCTCCAGGGGCGAAACTGACTAGTCTAAGGAAGCCAGAAGTTGCCCAAGCAGCTGGCCTTATGAAACAGCTTCGTCGGGCCTCTACCCACTGATCTTTGAGGCATGATTGGATCTGCGACTGTGAGGAGCCATCCTGTATAGCTCACAGGTTCATGGAAGCACGCAAACCATCACCACGTCAAAGTGCATTCTCGTCATGATGGAACTGGAGAGAAGCTCGTTACTGTACGGCTCCTCTAAGCATGTTCATGCTAAGGAAAATACCACGCGGAAGATAAAATCGCATTAAAAGGGGGATAACCATACTCAGTTGAGTAGCTGTTACATTTGGTGATCAATAGGTGTCAAAATGTTTAATAATATACTGTAATCTCATGTTTATGCGGTTTTATTTCCATACACGCATAATCCTTTAAACTATTAATTTTAAACTCTTCTCCAGACCTTAAAAACTTCGGTTTAGTTGAATGGCCGATCGGCTCACAGAGTTGCAAGACGCAATTAATTTGCAGGCAGAAAATTTGTGCAACGCTATTGGTGTCATTCAGCAAGTTGCTCAGCCGACGTTTTTCTCGGAGTTCAATTGGGCATCCCGATCAACAAAACCAGAATATCAGGCTGTGTTACAGAATCAATCAACTGAAGGTACGTTTGGGCTATTTGAATCGCAATTCATCTGTGTGACCTAATATACGTTTTACTTAAGCCCGGCTATCTTCCAGGAGGTACGCTATTTCCATGAGTATAGTATATCATCACCGACTATGCTAAGCAATGCAGGCCGCCACCCACCTTTGTTTCTATCGCCAGGTACTGTAATTTGACAAGGGTGGTGGTGGCGCAGTGGTTTGGTCGCTGTCACCGGCGTGGTTCGGACGATGTAATCCGAAGTTCCAGCCGCGCCATCGCCATCTAATTTTGGTGGTCGGCAGTTTTGCAGTCGTCCGGTACAGTACCACGCTAAACCTATCGGGATCTTATGTGGTTCGCAACTCCAGGTCCCAGGACTTAGGTTACCGGTTTCCATCACTGAATAGCAGGTCTCTGTGACTATGA